TGGACCTCAAGAAATTAGATCGGCTGTCAGTACTTCAGGATTGATCAATATTCAGATATATCCCATAGTTTGTGAAATCTATAACTTTCCTACAAACTAAAAAATACATCCTAATTTGGATTATTTTCACCAAAGAAATGCAGCAAAATACATATTGGCCTAAATTTATGAAGAACAATTATTTATTTGTAAACCTTTATAACAGAAACAAAGAAAAATGTGTTTTTTTTTTTTTTTTTTTTTTTTTCAAAATTTTCGGTCTTTTTTTGTTTAGCAAAAAATAAAAACCCCAGTGTTGATTAAATACCACCAAAAGAAAGCTCTAGTTGTGTGAAGAAAATGATAAAATTTTAGTTTGGGTACAATGTTGTATGACCGCGCAATTGTCATTCAAAGTGTGAGAGCGCTGAAACCTGAAAAATGGCCTGGGCAGGAAGGGGGTAAAAGTGCCCAGTATGGAAGAGGTTCACAAACTTGGTTGCAGATTCCTACCTTTTGTTATGAAGGATTAGCTGTCTGTGTCCATGTGCTATGATAATTATGAATCCACTCCCATATAGATTCACAATCAGCTGCTGTGCCTACAGGGATCTGAGGAAATTGGCAGGGTCCTGCATCCCTTTAGATGTTCTTTCCTTTTGGGAATACCTCACCAAAAATTTAATTTTGTTACAGGGGATGCCAAAAATCTGACTTAGTGCAGACATCTGGAAATAGCAGTAAGCCAATCACACAAGCAGGAAATAACATTTCTGGGGGGTATCTCTTACACCGTCTGTACAGAACACCTCCAGGTTTCCATATTGCTTTGCATTTTGCTGAAAATTACAGTGCTGCAGATTGAAAAACAAAGGTAATTGTTAATAACACTCATTTACAATATGACTTGAGTTGCAATTGTATATGCTATTTATTGCCCGAGAAAGGGATCTTGTGCGTCCCAGTATTGTTGCAAATTTCTTTTTGTCATTTGATCATTCTGCAATGAAAACAGTCTTTCGGACAACATTGGAGATTCGGAGTGTGCTGGCAAATAAGAACTTTAAAGGAATTGCAGCAGACACACTTCCTGTCTACAGTCTCCCACAAGAGTCACCATCTGTTCTTGATGCACACCCTGGGCTTTACGGGTTGTCAGTCACAGCTGATGTGGTGATTGTGGTGCACACAACTTTCATGCAGCCAGTTTTATCTGGACGAGAGTGAGTTACTGTGGAGCATGCCCAAGCTCCCTGTTGACACTGAATCCTAAGAATACTTCTGTTGCTTTTGTGTGTGAGTTCATGGTTTTTCAGAATAATGATTTCCTCCGGTCTTCATGTAATAGGTGATAATGCGTACTGTATCATCCACTTAAGCAGTGAGGAGTATGGAATGGAGCTCAGACTAATGTCCTATACATTTAATTTACGCATGTAACAACATCAGCTTTAGGGTTCATTCACTCCAGATGCGTTACCACATTTTTAAAAAAAATGGGAGCAGTTAACTCCAGTGTGTTGTGTTCTGGTTTGCTAGAGCAGACCCTACTTTTTGTCAGCACAACACATGGTAATGTGTGTTGGTGCAACACACAGGAGAAACGGCAGGCCCAGCGTAAATGTGTCTTCTCTATCAATCCATAGACCCTTTTCATGTTCCAGGAAATGAGGAGAAAAATGTTAAAATGCAATCCAGTATGTCAAACACACATGCATTTATCTGCACTCAGTGCACTTGGAATGGTCCCTAAACTGGCCAAACGTTGCTTGATATTGGCTACAACTGGATCTTTGGGTGGCTCTGACAGCAGCAGCTGCAAAATACAAATGCCAGCAGCTGCCATTCTTCTATCCATGCTGTTTAGTGTAGTTGGTGACAAATGGGTTTCTCTAGTTCAGCAAGCAGGACTGAATGAGAGAAATTTGAAGCAAGTTTGGCCAGCTTTACTATCTTTTGTTGTTTTAGGCAACCATGTATTTTTAGTGAGGCTTGATATTTTCAAAATGTTAATCACTGTTGGGTGGGAGTTATTGCATTGAATTGCTGGCTGTACCTGACTGCTCCAGATGGCCAATGTAGAGCAAGATGAAATGACCTGCTTGCCAGTGCACATGAGGATTTGGAGGCAGCCCAGTGCAGTTAAGAGACCTTGGGGGGTATCTACTACATGGTACCATTGACCTAATTGGAGTTCTTTTGTCCTTGCTTTGGAGTCAGTTTAATGTTGAGAAATCAGTTCAGTGCTCAAGAAATCAAGTTTTAACCTTCCATTAACAGAATGTAGTCCCCTCCAATGAAAACCATTTACTTGAGTATGTTCAACTTCACAAAGGTCAGCAGAACATCCTCTGAGTAATAAGAGTATACAAGTTTTTTCCTTCTGACATGCCAGTGAAATAATTCAGTGATTCAGGCTTTGACTGTGCACTTGCTGTTGGTAACAGAGCAAGAGACTTGTGGGGGTTTTTATCAGCATTTTATATATATATATATATATTTTTTTTTTTTTTTTTATTAAAATTGGACTCAAATTTAAATTCAGTTTGCCAGCAGTTCATGTTAACTTCTCCTTTTAATTGGGTACACTCTTGCATTGTGGTTACCAAAACATAGCTCTTGGTTACCAGGTTGCTGGTTTTTTTTGTGGGACATCAGATTAAATGTGTGTGAAAAGAAAAGCCTTGGAGAACTGGTCAGCTGTACATGGTTATCCACTGTTTGCAAATCAGCCAATCCAGTATGTGTATTTGTGTATAAAAGCTTGCTTATCTGTACAGATAGAACATAGCCAAACTCAATCTGAATATAAAAAGAAGCCTGAACACTTGTGATGTCTGCAAAGTTCAACTAAGGATTTATTTTTTTAAACAAAGTAAACTTAAATTAATCTATGATACATAGCCACCTAGTGGCAGCAACTAAAACCGTTTTTAATTTAACTGCTTCACTGTGCTGGTTTCTTCCTCTCCACGTGCTCTTTGTTGTGGTTTGACTTACTAGCAAGCCTTTACAGAGAAATTCAATAGGTTTGCATCTCAAATTATATTTGCATTACTATTTCTTATCTATAGAGTTTTCCCAACCATGACTGCAAGAATTAGCCGTGTTGAGGCTGACACAGAGCTGGTCTTCATTATTTGAGTATAGTGAAGAGAACTGCAAAATGATTCCCTAACCATATATACTGCATTTTTAGAATTGCTTGATAGAGATCTTAGATATTGCATGTAAAAAGACATGCTTGTTTAAAAAACATATATTCAGCACGTTAATGTGAATGGTGCTTAAGGCATTATAATATTGCTATTGTTCCTCCAAATTTCCAATGATTTGGGATTCTAGAGGACTGCACATGGCTGATGTGACACATTAATCCTTTATATTTTTCAAACTTGTGTCTGTAACATGCCTCTGTTATATACTAACGTAATATACATAAAGGAAGGTGCAATGCAGACTTTTAAGGCACCCATGCACAAATGTTTAAAAAAAAAAACTTCTTATTTATATAAAATAAAATTTAATTTATAAAATTTATAAATAAGAGTTTTTTATACATTGGTGTGTGGGTGCATTAAAGGTCTGCTTGGCATACAAAAAATTTTTAACCTTTAGTAGTTTAACAGGAATGTTGTTAATTGAAACCCTAATTTATTCTTCTAGTTTTAGTAATCTAGATAGTTTTTCTACAGTCGTGAATTTCAGCCCCCTCCTTGCTTTCAGTAATTCAACAAGTTTCAAACCCAGTGACCTGGTTTGTGTGTGTTCAAATCAAATAGGCAGTGGAACAATGCCCCTAGTGGTGAAACAATTGAACATATTTGTAAGCAAGTAGTAGTAGTTTATACAGGCTTGTATCAAAGTGGAAATAGTTTTATTTAGGTATTAAACCATAATCTCTCCTGACAAAAGCTCTTTTTAGTTTGTTGATTAAAGCTGGGTACACATCTGAAGATAGTTGGTGAAACAGTTGTCTTGTTTTCCTGTTTCACAGCAAGTTAAACCCGAGGATGGTACTAGTTGTACAAAAATTCTCGAACGACAAAAACTTTTTTTTTTTTTTTTTTTTTAATATAGAAGTATGGTAGCATAGATTATTGTTGTTTTTGATCATGCACAGTCTTTAGTATCCGATTTTTCTTGTAAGAAAACACTACATATTAAACTAAAATTGTTCACGTATGAGAAACATTTTTGTGTTTTGTCCCTTCGGTAACTTTCATTTGGAAAGTGGGAAATTGGGTGTCAAAAGTTGTGCACACACTATATGACAATCGAACAATCGTACCTCCATATGGAATTTTTCTTCCGATTTTCTTATTGTGTGTACCCAACTTAAGATGGAATTCTACAGTTTAATAGCAAATGAAACAATTATTTGTTTTATCACCTTGTAGTTCAGGCAAACCTATTAATATAAATTACCTTGTGCATTCATTTTATGCAGTTCATGCATTAGAGCATCTTAGAGTGTAGCAATACATCAGTCTTGCTGCAAAAGAGTGTAATATCTGTTGGCCTTCAATAGTCACACGATCTAGGACAATCTAATCTGTCTTTGAGTTGCAAGAAGAAATCGATGCAAATGTTTGGAAATTGCTAATTTCTTGGTGGTGGAGTCCTGGCTGGGACTCTAAATTGGGGTGTATATTCTGCAACGGAGGCATGTATACCACTTCCCCATTATTTTTAAAAGGAAGAAGTAGAACTCTGTAAATGTTGAGTTTGGATTGAGATTATGTATAGATGCCTGTTCATGGGGATTTGAAGCTAAAAAGTCTGGGCAGTAGTTGGGACAAAAATCTAACTTCGGTAACCTGTTTTAGTTCTTGATCTTCTATTTTTTTTATTTCGTCTTACTGAGCATATTTAATGCTGTTCAGCGCTTCATGTTATATTTTCTTTATTCTTAGGTTGAATGGTGATCCAGTTCTAACAAGAACAAGAAAGCCTACACCAAACTAAACCATCCTATCCATTGAACCACTACTGTCCTCCTCCATAAAAGGAAACTCAAGATGATCACGTCCGAACTCTCCGTGTTGCAGTAAGTGCATAACTAAAATTTGCAGACATTAATTATAGTGTATTATTGTCTATAATAATGTATATCATCTTGCCCTGTTCTTTTAGGGATTCCACCAATGACACCGGTGCACCAGTGCACACTGACATGTCTGCAGTTGCCAGTGAAATGAGTTCTGATATTACTGATGACCTGGAAGTCAAAGGCAAAAGAAAAAGAGGCCGCCCCGGAAGACCACCAGTATGTGATCTTTGGCAAGCACCGCCATCCAATTAAAACAAAGTATACCTTTACTTCTGGCAAATATATGGAGTCAATTTGAATCCATTTATCCCGGTAAAATTGCATTAATTACCACATTTACAGAGTGCCATTCTATCCAAAGTGATGAGTAATACTGCAACTAAACCTGCATTCACCCCTGAGCAGAGTTTGTATTCCTCAAGATTTTTAAGGTTTTTTTTTTTTTTTTTTTCATATGAAGTGTCTAAGCTTTAGGCGTATTTTCCTGGGCTGGCTAAGGTGAAAAGGTCAGTTTTTTGTTTTTTTTTTTTTTTTTTTTTTTTAGAAGGAAAGGAGCTCTTCAGGTGTGAAAGTGTGCATCTAGAGTTTTTACAGGTGTTTCCATTGTCTCTGGGGCCAAAAGCACATGTATACATTCCAAAAAGATCATGTATTTTTTTTTTTTTTTTTTGGAGCGTACAAGTGTGAATAGGGAATATTAGAAAATATGGGATTCTGTATGTTGAGCATAGTCATAGCAGAAAAATGCTCAAGTGTGAATGGAGTCTAAACCCTGAGATCTAAATTCTGACCATTTAAACTGCTGTTATATACAGTGTTTTTGGCTCATCCACAATTTAATTTGTTGCCATCTTTCAAGAAAGTAAAAAATATTTGATTTAATTTTAACGGTATAAGCTATGATGCCGTGAATGGGGGGGAAAGGGAGTTATTTATTTCTGGCTTTGACTTAAAGGGCAAGTTCACCTTTCTGAACATGTTACACCCATAATTAGGATGTAACATGGTCAGCATCAGACCCCCCCCCCCCCCCCCCCCCCCACACACTTGTGCCAGCGAGTTGGGGATTTTCTCCCCATACTCGCTGCCACAATTCAAAGAGCAAAAGCCGTGCAGGGCTCTGCCCATATAACTGCGTTATGGATTCACAGATCCCTGCGAATCAATGAACTGCAAGTACCAGTAGAATGGCAGTACTGGACAGATACCTTACACTGACAGTCTGCAGGGGACCTGCATGGTATTGGTGATCTGCTGATCACTGGTGCAATGCTTTCCAAGCTACTAAAACAAAAAATAGTAAATGCATATTTCTTTACCTGCGAAAATGGCGCAGTTATTTTTTGTTGAAAGGTGGACTTATCCTTTAAGCCCAACTTTAAATGAATGTAGTAAAATATTAGTATAGAGTTTTTATTATATGCATAGAATCAGATATGTTGGCGTTTAACACTTAATACTTTTTTGCAGTCTGCCATTAAAAAAACCACGAAAGACACCTGGTGAGAGGAGTCGTGGAGAGCCAGGCACAAGAGGCCGGGGCAGGGCAAATGGTCATCCTCAGCAAAATGGCGAAGGCGATCCAGTCACCTTATTTGAAGTAGTTAAGATGGGAAAGAGTGCCATGCAGGTAATCACAGCACACAAGCTATAATTTCACCTCCGATTCCTGTACACTCTTTTTGCACCTGGCCTTTCAAACTACTTATTTTTAGCCTATATTTTACACAATTGCAGTTCTTTCTCACAGGATTCATGTAGATTTTAGATGCTAATGGGATCTTCCAAGAGATGAGATATTCTATCATGCTTTAGAATATGCGTAGATTATTCACATCAGCCCCTGTCTATGGTTTGATGTACTTAGCACTGTTATAAATAAAAACACACACACAAGAAGCTGCATTGGTGGACTTCATTTTACCAGTGGGACTTTGCAGGGCAACCAAGAGAAAACTGTAAGTGCAGATACACATATACAGTTAGGTCCATATATATTTGGACACAGGCACAATTTTAGTTTTTTTTTCAATGAATTACCAAAACATACTTAAGCTATAGTTATATAATGTATATGAGCTGAAAGTACACACTCTCGGGTTTAATTTGAGGGTATGTACATCCAAATTGGAGAAAGGGTTTAGGAATTACGGCTCTTTAGCATAGCCACCCCCCCCCCCCCCCCTTTTTCAAGGAACCAAAAAGTACTTGGACAGTTGAATCAAAAGCTGTTTCATGGCCAGGTGTGGGCTGCGCCTTCGTTATTTCTTCATCAATTAAGCAGGTAAAAGGTCTGGAGTTGATTCTAAGTGTGGTATTTGCATTTGGAATCTGTTGCTGTGAACCTACATCATGCATTCAAAGGAGCTGTCCATGCATGTGAAACAGGCCATTGTAAGGCTTCAAAAACAAATCAGAGAGATAGCAGCAACATTTGAAGTAGCCAAATCAACAGTTTGGTACATTCTGAGGAAAGAAGACCGCACTGGTGAGCTCGGCAAACATAAAAAGGCATGGACGTCCACTGAAGACAACAGTGGTGGATCATCGCAGTATCCTCTCTATGGTAAAGAAAAACTCATTCACAACATCCAGACAAGTGAAGGACACTCTCCAGGAGGTGGGTGTATCATTGTCTAAGTCTACAATCAAGAGAAGACTTCACAAAAGCAAATACAGAGGGTTCACCATAAGCTGCAAACTATTCATAAGCCTAAACAATAGAAAAGCCAGATTAGACTTTGCCAAAAAACATCAAAAAAAGCCAGACCAGTTCTGATAAAAGCATTCTTTGGACAGATGAAACTAAGATTAACCTGTACCAGAATGACGGAAAGAAAAAGGTGTGGAGAAGGCTTTGTACAGCTCATGATCCAAAGCATACAACGTCATGTGTAAAACATGGTGGATTCAGTGTGATGGCATGGGCATGCATGGCTTCCAGTAGAACTAGGCCATTGGTGTTTATTGATGATGTGACAGAAGCAGCCAGATGAATTCTGCAGTGTTTAGAAATAAACTGTCAGCCCAGATTCAGTCAAATGCAGCAAAGTAGATTGTACGGTGCTTCACAGTACAGATGGACAATAATCCAAAACACACTGCAAAAGCAACCCAGGAGCTTTTGAAGGAAAAGTGGAATATTCTGCAATGGCCGAGTCAATCACCTGATCTCAACCCAACTGAGCATGCATTTCACTTGCTGAAGGCAAAACTAAAGGCAGAAAGACCCACAAACAAAGAACAACTGAAGACAGCTGCAGGTAGAGCCTGGCAAAGCATCAGAAAGGAGGAATCCCAGCCTTTGGTCATGTCCATGGGTTCTAAACCTCAGACAGTCATTGCCAGTAAAGGATTCTTAATAAAATATTAAAAATTAACATTTTATATATGATTATATTAATTTATCCAATTACATTTGATCCCCTTGAATTAAAGCTGAAAGTCTGCACTTCAAATTAATTTGGATTGTTTCATTTTAATTTATTCTGGTGGTATACAGAGCCAAAAGTATGAAAAGTGTGCCTGTGTCCAAATATATATGGATCTAACTGTAATTGCTACAATTCATTAGTTAACTTACCAACATGTTATGGTTGTACATAAATCTGTGCAAACATAGAATAATAACCCTATTTGACATATATTCAACCTATTAATTAAATGCTTTATAGAGACCATCGTCAAACCAATTATTTAAACATCAACCTTTCCGTAAGATTCTATGTGCACTTATTTTATGCATGTGGTTTACCTGTAAAAGCCTCCCTTGTGCAGAAATCCAAACCCTTTAAGCTTTTATCTTGGATGTGTTGGTAGCAAACATGCTATAGTATTCCCCTTAGCTCCTCCCTTGGTAGCCACATAAAAGGCCATGTAAGGATGTAAGGGGAGGGGTGGAGATGCTTGGACAGCTCAGACACAGTAATTAAACAATCTCAGAAGTGGTGAGACAAAGTGAGGGGTGGGGGGGGGCTGGCGGGTGTGCTAGGTTATTGACTTTTCTGGAGCACACAGATTTTCTGTTGTCTGTGTCAGAGGAAGGAATAGTGTCCCATTGTCGGTATTTGAGGGAGGATTAGTGCACCATTGTTGTTGTCAGGGAGGAATAGTGACTTATGAATGCCATGGATGGTATCAATGGGAGGAATTATGCCACAAGGGCTAGTTAAACACAAAAGAGCGACAGTTTTGGGGTCCACTGCTTTGATGTCATTTGCTTGTTTCTAAATTCTTGATTTTTTTTTTTTTTGTCAAACACAGAAAATTTGTAGTGTCTTTTGCTTCAGGGAGTTCAGTATTTGGGAGAAAGTATGAGTGGCTTGTGATATAAGTGTGTGCTGCTATGTAGTTTGTGATGCTTATCGTGGAATATTATATAACTCCATATAACTATTATAATCTCTTTCATAGTCTGTAGTAGATGACTGGATTGAGTCGTATAAACAGGACAGAGACATGGCTCTTCTGGACTTGATAAATTTCTTCATCCAGTGTTCAGGATGCAAAGGTAACTTGAGGATGTGTTCCCATGTTGTCTTAAACGTGGTCTTTACAGTTGTGGCCAGAGTCTAGCAAGACTCCAATATAAAGAATATATACCAACCTATTTTTTCCTGATGAATCATATTTTGCCATATACAAGGTGTGTCCAGAATATGAGAATGAAGTTCCTACGCCCGAGAAGGGCTCTGTTAAGGGAGAAGCTGGTCAAGGTCACTTGGTGTGGGGTGCCAGTGTATAAGTTAGAACACTGATCAGTTGCATTCCAGTCCTGTCAAGAGTCAAGAATTTTTTTTTTTTTTTTTTTTTTTGTTCCACCCTGTTCAAGTGCCTCATATTAAGGAAAATGCAAGCGAGTTTGGAACAGTGGTATGCGATAAAATTTTGTGTGAAATTGGGCAAAACTGCATCTGGAATTTTGGAAATGGTGAGCAAAGCTTATGGAGAAGCTGCTATATCAACTGCACAAGTGTACCAATGGCACAACAAGGCCTTCAAGGAAGGACAAGAAGGTGTTGAAGACATTCAGGAGGCCTCTCCATTGAAAAAGGATCAAAATGTGGATGCAGTGAGGTCTGTTCTCAACCATGGCAGACGGCTTACTATCAGAATGATTGCAGAGAAAACAGGAACTACCAAGTCCATTGTTCACAAAATTGTGATTTAAGATTTGAAAATGAGAAAAATGTGTGACAAACTTGTTCCAAAAAACTTGTCACCAGATCAGAAGAAACACTCATTTGCCTAGACCTGTTGGCCCGTTTAGAAAGACAGCCTGATTTTTTGAGTCAAGTGATCACAGGAGATGAATCCTGGGTGTTTAAGTATTATTGCAAGTCAAAGAAAGTTCAGACTGGCACACACCCATGTCACCTTGCCCCAAGGAAGCTAGAATGAGCAAATCAAAAGTCAAATAAACGGTCATTGGGTTTTTTTGGTTCACTTGGTATTGTCCATAAGGAATTTGTACCTACTGGTCAAACTGTGAATCAAAGATTTTATGTGGAAATTGATTGCTTGAGACAGATAGTTTTTCATGTGTGTCCTGAGATCAGCTCAACTTTTATCCTTCAATACAACACACCCAGTCACAGTGCTTTGGCTGTCAGAGTGTTTGGCTGAAAAACACCTGACAGTGCTTCCCCATCCACCCTACAGCCCCAACTTGGCTCCCTGTATCTTTTTCATATTCCCAAAGATGGAGGGTTGGAAAGGACACCATTGTGGTAGTGTGGATTATGTCCAAAGAGCCACTATGTAGACCCTGAACACCATCTCACTTGAAGACTTCCAGGGATGCTTTAAAGAATGGAAAAATCTCTGGTAGTGTGGTGTACACTTTCAAGGAGACAATGTTCAATTGTAAAATCTTTCAATAAAAGAATTTGTCATTCTCATTACTTTCTGGACACACCTCATATTCACACAAATATTTGGTAGTCTTGGTTAGTAAGTGCTCGTCTGAAAAACTTCTCAAAGCATAGATAAAAACACTTTGCAAAGCTATGGTACAGCAGTTAACTTTCTTTAGGGCCATTTTATATGAATAGTTCTGCTTCTAGCAGAAACTTACCAGAGACGGGATAGAGAAGAGAGCACTCGAGAACTGCTGTGTTTCCACAAGTGAGGTAGCTATACCATAAGAGCAGATGAGGTTAGCGATCCTATTGCTGAATGTGCCCCTTGGGCAACTTGAAGCCTTTGAAATGATGTATAAATGCTTGTTTACCGCAGATCTTTCCAGATTAACATCTACAACCTTGATTTGGCTTATGGTCATGTGTGGAAGGTCTCAGTTGACCATTTTCTGAATCAACAGTTTTGTGTTGGGTTGTCTTAAAATTACTTCGGTCAAGTCTGATTTCATTTGTTTTTGTAAATGAAATTTTCGCAGATGATCATACTGACCTTCAGAGATCATTCGGCACAATGTATGTTAAAGTACACTTGCATTAAGAGAAAAATTGAGCTGCTGCTGGCCTGACAATGCTCGTTGCCTGGCTATGTCCAGCTTCAATCCTTCTGAGTCACAGACCTAAAAGAAGCATGCAGCAAATGTTTGTCCGAATTTGTTGTTTTTGTTGAAAGCCAAAGCATTGGCAGCTTACAAAATTCTCTCAGAACAAATGTACTTTAAGGACTGAGCGACATCTGCTAAGATTGGTGTCCTGTCATTTCTAAAAGAATAGGGGCAACATGCAAAGGCAAATAAAATCATGTTGACATTTGATGTACGCTATCAAATACTCCTTAGCTTACAACCTGCCTGGCAGTCATCTTTAAGAATATGATTGACTAATACAGCTAGCCATTGTGAGAAATGTGTTGGTACTAGGTGTTGAAATTTTTGAAAAAACTACTTGTCCAGGGGCTAAATCAGGGTCCCAAACTGCTTGTCCCTCATGACCATCTTCTTGTCCTGATAAAAAATAAATATATTTTAATCAAAACCGTATATAAATTTGAGGTACCTTTAGGAATGTCTGGGGTTTAAAAAAACAAAAGGGGCTTTACTGTGACCTAAATGGTTAATATTTTTAACATTGCACTGTTTATCCCCTCCTACCGTCCCTGCCTGTCTCAAGCACCACACCTGGGGACTGGCAGGGGGAGGAGAGAGACCTTGCAGTGTAATGCACACCGATTGGGTGCTTGTCCGGAAAGGGGAATGTCGAGCTTATCCTTTATCCCTTTCGTTGCCAGGACCTTTTTTTTTTTTTCCATTTTTTGCACAAGTTTAAAAAATAATTTTAGGCCTGAAGATTAGGTGAGCCCTGCTGCTTGCCTGCAGCAGGGCTAAAAGTTTAAAAAAACTACCTGCCCGACACCCGGAACGACTACCGGGCATCGGGCAATACAAATTGAACATCCCTGTGGTAATATAGTCACACCTATTTCAGAAAATAACCCAAATATAAAATAACATAAAGGTAATCCATCTGCTTTGTTTCCTTTCTGATGATACTGACTTGATCATTTGTAAATGTTCTGTGTAGGTACTGTAAGAATTGAGATGTTTCGAAATATGCAGAACGCGGAGATCATCAGAAAAATGACTGAGGAGTTTGACGAGGTATGACACAATGGCAGCTCTATATGGCTTAAAATATCCTCAGTTTTTTCACTTCTTTTGGTATCTGTCATATGGTTGATATTATATGTTTCTGCCATTACTCTTCTCCTTTTTCTTTTTTATTTTTCAGCAAAAGTAAACTGTTATCTTTTAACTGAATTTCAGGGCATAATGTTGTGCAACAAATGTTCAAGGCAACATCTGGTTATTTTGGCTCAAGTGCAAAGCACCCAGATCTTAGAAATGTGGCCATAGGGAAAAAAAGTTACTCGAATTTGAGTGTTAAATGAGTGAGTGGCAGAGACTGTTGTCAATGGGTAGTTTACAATGGGACACGGGCAAAACTAAAAACCTGCCACGCGTGGTAACCCCTCCTATCTTTATCCAGAACTAAAGAAAGTGTGTCTGGAGTTCATTTTACTACATGTTACTTTTAAGAGGTTTCTTTATTAGGTCTTTAGGACATACTTCCTGTATATCTTTGTTCTGTTGTATCTTTTTTCTATTGATTCTTTCTCCTTCTAGTGAGTCTTTGCCTCCCTGTTATAAGCTATAAGCTACTGCATAGCCTCACTCCTCCTTCCCTGCCTGCAATAATTCAGTTATTTTTTGTACTAGCTTACCAGATGTAATTATGTAGATGGAGAGTCCTTTATTGAAAAGTATATTTTTCATTTACTGTAAACATTTTTTCTTGGAGTCCATTGAGGGACACAGTTTCTATCCCTCTGTGTTTGATTGTGCTCTTGTTACTGCTCTTCTACAAAACTGCGGCATACTGGTAGTAGTAGTTCTGGGCTGGCCTACAAGAAGTTACAGGTGTCCAATCCTTTTGTAGGCAGCAGGGAAACACGAAGATTTAAGACTGTGTCTTTCAGTGCTCTCCAAGAAAAGGATTTTTCAGGGAGCATTTTTCCTATTTAGTATAATGAGGAATTGCAGATAGTTCCTGAAAGTGTCTTTAATGTTATTAATGTCTTCCTATACAGTGATAAAGCTACCCCCATTTTTTGTTGGTGTGTCAAAGCGAGAGGAAGTGAGGGAAAATCCCCACAATGGGGCCAAAGAAAAAAATTCCAGTCCTGGCTGAAATGTATATTCTTCCCAGTCTAGTTAGTCTTTAATTTTACTACCAGTTGGTGTCACATTGATTACACTCATGTTGGTATAATGTTCTATTTGTAGCTTTGAAGATGGACTTCACATCCACAGTAATGATTTGGAAGCCCCACATCCTAATGTGTCTCACAGCCAAGCATCTGCTTCTTCAGAGAAATTAAGTCCCAACTTCAGGCACAATCTGTTTAGTCTGAATAACGGGGAGAAGGATTAGAGCCTCTGTAATTTTTTTTTAAAGCTGATATTTATTCTATTTATATTTTGCATTTCCTGGTTACTCCCATCCCTCTTAGCATACTAATTAGGTTTTTTTTTTTAAATAAAAGTATTCTGTATGTCTCTGCACAATGCAGGACGATCATGGCTGGTGGAAGGACCAGCAGGTTTCTGTACATAGCTTCATGAAAAACATCACAACACCCTGCCTCAGTACTCCTTTGGCTGATGCAAGCCAGTAGGCTTGGTTCATGGGTGTCTGTTAGTCTGAAAGAATGGGAATTTACAAGTGGATCACCCTAGATAACACTCCCACATGTGATGTTGGGCCTCTGTGATTGAAAGAACTCAAATCCGATGAAAGGGGCAGGCCAGGAACAATAAACCTGGATAGGAAAGGGCTAAATCTGAGTTAGGAAACCTAGAGCACTCTAGCTGTGTGAAACGTAGTCCCAAGACTCTGATGGTTACAGGCATGACTCCCAGAAGCAGAGCACATGGAAGGGCGACGCATGTCAAACAAAAAAAGAAAAATTCCCAGCTCTAACTTGCCAACTAGCTTGCAAACAAACCGAATTAACCTAACAGTATGCGTTAAAAATAGGGGTTTAGTTAGCACACATTTGCAAACACATGCATAAGCTATAGAGCCTCGTCACGGCATCCCATTATTCTGTAGTTCCTAAGTCTCCAATTTTAAGAGCCCCCATAGTAGAGGCACATGTATTTAATGGATAGACCAAGGGCATGTGGACCTGAGGGAACCCACCCCTCCTTAAAGGTACAGGAGCGCACTGGACACCCAGCATGTAGCAAGCAAATGGCAGCCAAGGTGTCTAGTGCGCCCCCTCAACCAACAATTCAACAGTACAAAAAATGGCCACTGCCCCAGTCTATAACTGACTTGCTGCCACTTCTACAGTAAATGTTTTGAGAAGCACGTGCTGTACAGTGAATCAGACTAAGTATTTTCAGAACAGCAGAGGAGCCTGTACAAATGTGACTGAAGGTAAGGCTGGAGTTTATATTTAACCATTTGCGCTCCAGAGTATTTACCCCCGTTCCTGACCAGGCCATTTTGTGCGATACGGCACTGTTACTTTAACTGACAATTGCGCGGTCATGCAACGCTGCACCCAAATTAAATTTATGTCCTTTTTTCCCACAAGTGGTGCTTTTTCAGTGGTATTTGATCGCCTCTGTGTTTATTTTTTTTTTGCGCTATAAACAAAAAAAGACTGACAATTTTGGGGGAAAAAAAAGTTTTTTACTTTTTGCTATAAAACATATCCAGTAAAAAATTTTTTAAAAAATCAAATTTCGTCATAAATTTAGGCCAAAATATATTCTGCCACATGTCTGCTAACAGAAATCCCAATACGTGTAAATTAATTGGTTTACTAGTAATGGCGGCAATCAGCGACTTATTGCTGGACTGCGGCAGGCATTCTGACACTGGAGGGGAACTGACTAACTGTCACTGACATCCCCAGTGACACTAATACAGTGATCAGTGCTAATAAAAAGCACTGACACTGTACTGATGACACTGGGCAGGAATGGGTTAACATCTGGGGTGATCAAAGGGTTAACTGTGTGTTTTACTGTGTTGTCTGTGTGTGCTTTACTATGTAAGCACTCTGCTTTGTATTGCTCTGCTATGCAGAGCAATACAAAGCAACATGATGGTGCTGACGGGAGAGATCTGTATTGTTTACATACAAACCTCTGTCCTGTCAGTGTTCCTTGGTGATTGCCTGGTGTCGGCGGGGAATCTCTGGACGGGACCGGTAATTGACAGCTGTAGCTATCCCCTACCCGGAGATACAAAACCAAATGTTTATATACATGATTTTACGCAGCCCTGCTGCCCTGTAGCAGTAGTTCTGCAATAGAGCGGTTGTGAAGCGATTAATGCCATGTGTACCCATTGCGAATATTGCCTCACTTCTGTGAGGACAGGAAATCTCTCCAACCGAGGCAGACAAAACACACATTGAATCAAGTAGGATAAGGTTATAAGGGAAAAACGCTTAATAGAAAATATTATAGCTTGACATGTCCTGATTAAAATATTTAATGTGTACTGTTTATGCTTGACATTTCTACATTTCCTTCATTTCACAAATTTCCTTTTTTAGGATAGCGGAGATTATCCTCTAACAATGCCTGGACCACACTGGAAGAAATTTCGCTGTAACTTCTGTGAGTTCATTGGTGTTCTGATCCGACAATGCCAATACAGCATCATCTATGATGAGTATATGATGGACACTGTCATTTCACTGTTGACTGGCCTCTCTGACTCCCAGGTCCGAGCTTTCAGGCATACAAGCACACTTGCAGGTAAATGTTTGTTATTGCAGTTATACCTGTGCTTATAAACCGCATTGGGATCCTGGTTTCTCTATTATAGTTTGGTTTTTTGTTTGTTTTTTTATAATATGAAATGTTCTTTAAATGCCCTTCAACTTTCCATACATGAGGAGTTTAGGGGGTTAGGCAGTGATGGTCTAAAAAGGTATGCCTGATCAGCAAAAAAAAAAAGGTGAACATACTATTTAAAATGGGTTTGCTTTCAAGGAGGCAAAATAAGCACCCTGTGTCTTCCACAATACAGTTCTTAGGCAGCCAATCATTGGTCAGGGGAAGTGCACCCAGCCCTGGGTTAATTTTTGCTTTCTGAGAAATTGAAGAGTTACACTGGAGGTTTAAGGGGCTCTGGCAGTGGGAAATGGTGGAGGAAGGAATGTATGAACTGTGTGTTTTGTGTTTGCTATAAAAAACTGAGTAAATTGTGTTCTTTTAAAATGATTATGGTCTAAAAAGTATTTATTAGCAATTGCTATAGAGCAGTGGTTCTTAACCTTGTTGGAGGTACTGAACCCCACCAGTTTCATATGCGCATTCACCGAACCCTTCTTAATTGGAAAAATAAAATATGATTTTTAAAATTCAAAACATAGGTATATATTTAGGTATATATTTATACATAGGTGCACAAAATGAACAAAACCGTTAAGAACAAAAACCATTAAAATATGATTTTCACACAAAAACAAAAACATAATAATGAATATTTACTGCACGAATCATATGAGTCGGGTGTAAGTCTTCACCTCCGCCGAACCCCCGAGACTGACTCACCCGAACCCCTGGGGTTCGATCGAACCCAGGTTAAGAACCACTGCTATAGAGTCATTTTTTTTTTTCCTCTATGTAGTTTTTTTTTTTTTTTTGTCTGGTTTCTGTGCTAGATTACAAACCTTTCCTTATTTTATTCCCAGTATCTTCTACATAACAGCCAAATACTAATATATGTTGGCACCAATTATGAATGGCAGACAAACCACATAAAGTTGAAACTTTGCTGCTTAAAGCATAACCTGTAGCAATATTGAAATTATTAACCTTCCTTTTGGAGCCGTGCCACATTAACAATTCTGTCACTGGTGTCAAATATCATCGATATCTCTATGCAGAGCAAATACCTACTTCCATGCATTGCTCCCTCACTGGCTGGATGAGTGCCAGTGCTCATGTAGCCAGCACCTCCAGTTTCATTAATATCCTGCAAATTTTTCAAAAAGTGCCCCATGTGTCCTCAATACACAGGATCCCTTACCTGCAATTAGCTTCAAGGTCACAGCTCAGTCCACACCTTTAGCCTCATTTTTGGTTGGTAAGGCTTCCCTTCACAGTGGGCCACTAGAATGATTGAACGGAGGCTAGTAGAGCTGACAACCATGTGAGGTGCTTTCTATTTACAGTATTTCTCCATTGAACATCTACTTTTCATTTTACACAGTGGCAATTTTACAATTGGTATAAGTTCATTTGTTGTTGATTCATAAATATACTAACCCATCATAAACTGACAGAATTCCTACTGGTGTCCTTTAATCACACTTTGTGCATCCTTTATCGTATTCAGACTGTATGAGAATAATTTCTCTATAAACATTATCCCGTTCTTCTGAAAAGCAGTAGTGCTTCACAACTACATAGTAAGACTTTGTTTATGTAATCTTTGAACATGCTTCTTGAAGACGAGGTCTCTTATTACTACAGTTCATCTTTAAAAATCTAAGAGCATAATCTTCAGTGAACAATGCAAAAGTCTAATTACCAATGTTTAAGCATGCTGGAGCTTTTAAAATCATTCTCACATATCTCCTTCCCTGCAATTTACAGTTTTCCTAGTACTTTTTTCCTTACTTTAAAAGTATTTTGGGGAAACTACAGCCATTATTTTAAATGGCAAATACTTGTTCTTGTAAGCTGTAATGCTTTACTTTTTTATTCTTGCCTATTAAGTAAGTTACTGTTGAGAATGAAGGGGACTCTGAAATACACAAGTTTTCTATCATAATTTATTCTACAGTGCCACTTTGTATCAGTTTGTTTTCATGTTCAGCCAGCTCCGTGTCAGGGGCAGATTGCAGCTATGAATATCTTTATGCTGCTGCCCCACACTGGTAAACTTTAGAACTTCCATATTGTAGATTTTACATTTAACTACTTCAGCTCTCACACCTGTACTCCCTCTACGCACTAGAGTTTGTTTTATGTTTCCATTTTTGAACCTCTTTATTCATTGATAACTTTGTCATCACTTAAGATAAAATAATGCGTACAGTATATTGTTTAAGCACAAGCAAGGCTTTCCTTTTGTGATGTTATATTGCAAAAAATGAAATTTTAAGCAATGCTTTGGACAAAAAAATAAAACTAAAGAAAAAACACTTTTTTTCTTTTTTCACCAGTGTTTAAAAACATATTTATTGTAGTTACAAAAATGTACATTTTATTCTATAATTTGTAATTTTAAATATGACACTAACATTATGGTTCCAGTGTAAAGCGTTGTGAAGTGATTTTCAAATTAAATAAAATTAATATTTATTTTATTTTTTTTATTTTAATATTGTGCTTTATTTTAATGTGACATTATGGCAAATTATGGTAAACTAAGGGTGGCCATAGATTATACAAATTTCTTGCCTTCAACCATGGGTTCTATTAGAATTTTGGTACACTTTCTGAAAGCGCACCAAAGATGCAGCATGCAGGACCTAATTGAACTCTAATTGAAGCACAGCAAAGCAGGAGTCATAGATGTTTGTCCCAAGCATGTTTGAAGCCTGCATATATTCTAAGAAAATATTGCTACCTACATGTGCATACTGTATATGGTTAGATAAGTAATTTACAAATATGTATTTGTTTCCATACTTTATAATTTGCTGAACACTTTTTAAACGTTTCTGTTGAAGCATGCAGACAGCTCTTATGGGTTATCAAACATTTCTGAAGGCCGAAGAGCAGATTTTAGAGGGTCTCGTTCATTGGGAAGCAGGAGAACAATTATGTTGGGTGCCTCGTGCTATAGCTCATCCTCAGAAAAAAGCAAAAGTCCTGCAAGGAATACCTTGCATAACTCAGATTTTGTTTTATAAACCCTGTAGAGCCCATTTACACTTCTTCATTTTTTCATTTGTTGCTATACATTTTTGTGTTTCACATGCAGTAACTTTAGACTTTTCATTGTTCATCAATTTTTAATGCTGAGATAAAATAAGATGTTTTTTCTTCTTCCTATAACTGCAGCAATGAAGCTGATGACTGCACTGGTGAATGTTGCCCTTAATTTGAGTATTCACCAGGATAACACTCAGCGGCAGTATGAAACAGAGCGGAACAAGATGATTGGCAAGAGAGCCAACGAGAGGCTTGAGCTGCTTCTACAGAAACGAAAAGAGGTATGCCATCTCTCCACTCTTAGGTCTCTTTTACACCTACTTTACACTTCACTGTACATTTGACAGGTAGTGAGGAGGCGTTTTATCGCCGCCTCACTGCCTGTTTTAACCCCCTATATACTGAACAACTGCTTGCATTGTGCACGGTTGCAGGGCAGTTCTAATGCAGCCCCATGAAGCGCGATTTAATAATTTCTGCTGCGAAGCAAAGTATCGTAGTCACAGCATGGCCACTGCCTATACAGCAAAAGGCCAAGCAGTTGAGTGGCGGTAAAAATGCTTTGGTTGCCCTTCACAGTACATTGTTCTAAAGCAGGCAGGCAAAAGGATAGGAGCAAGTCAGTCAAGATAATTCTTGTGGTTTCACTCTGCTTTGTTTACCTAAAGGTGAAAGTGAAAGCAAAAAATAGGTGAAAAAAGTTATGAATTGTATTTGTTGTGCTTTGTGGCGTCCTCCACTGAACTTGCTGTCCTAAGCAACTGGTATATGTTTTCAAAGGATTTTGATTTAAAAAAAGTGCTGCCTTTTTGTTCTAACCACAGGGCACAATCTTAGAGTTGTTAAATGTATACTCCCGTTAAAATAAATTATGAGATGCAAATAGTCTAGTCTACTTGCTGTGAAATAAAGATTTTCACCCAGACCTTGCTGCATGGTGCCAGTCCACCCAACCCCTTTTGCTTGAAATTTGATCATTCTGGAGCACACACACTGGTGATGAAACTTCATCCTTCTGTCCTACACAGAAAAAGCTGACCAAAAATCGAAATATACAGTACTAAAGTTTCTCCCAGCCACCAATTATACATGAATGTAGTTGGTGATGTAGGGAGCTGGAAGAGAGAGCACAGCACAGGTTTCAGGAGGTACATACTGTAGCTGCCATCCCAATGCTGACCTTGTATAGAGGTGTTCTTACACCACATGGTATTACACAGACCTAAGATAAATGTAAACAAAGTGAACTTTCTGATTTTAATATAGCAGGGTCACTGAATGCTTTCATTTGGTTTCAGTAACCAGTTCAGTTTTGCATGCAGCACTTTAGAGTTCAACCTGCTTCTGAGTAGCAGGAAGGTAAATGTTCTAGCATACTCTGGGGCAGGGCAGACTGTAATAACCGTGCCAAGATCAGAATTGGGGGAGGTGAATATATAAAATGGAATATCCTGTTTTTTGTTTTTTTTTTTCATCTATTGAAGGACACAGACTTTAAACTTTGAGTTATACTGCTGCCAACAGGAGGATTGTACACTGGCAAACCAAAAACTGTAGTCCAGTCTAATCCTTCCTACTACCAGCATTCCTCAGTATTTTGCTTGTTTCCTTTCAGAATGGGGGGGAAGTCTTAGTCTTTGTGGATATATGGCAGCCTGCATCTTCGATGCTTGGGGGTAGGTGATGGTTTCCAGGTTGCTGCAGGCTAGATTTTTACTCCCAGGCCCATCCTCTGTTCATCACTTCGAACCTACCTGTGTCACTACACAGATTAGCTAATCTCCATGTAGCACTAGTGGGTCTTCTGGATCATTGAAACCATAATGCCACAGAAACTGGGACAATGACATACAGTTTTTTTTCTCCAACTTGTTTGCAGTTTACAAACCCAAAGATGGCATCTGCCCCATCTTAGATCTGAAAACTGAATGTCTTCCTTCAAGCTCAGAATCCACCAAGTATTTATCACCTTCCTTCACCAGGAAGACTTCCTGCCATCTGTGGACATCGAGGATGTGTATCTATTTGTTCCCATCTTTCCAACGCACCAGCGATTCCTATGCTTTGCTATACGTCTGCATATTTTTGTTCTGAATCTTCAAAAGTCAGCACTTGAACAGACTTGTCACTTGGACTATCTGGGTTTTGTCCTAACCTCAGCTCTAGTCAGAGTTTACATAGTCTATTGAGGGACACAGGAATTTCATGAACAGTATATTTCCTCCATCTTCAGGAAGCTGGGACACTGGCAAACAGAAAACTTTTAAGCCAGGCCCTGTGTGCCCTTGGCTCCTTCCCCTGCTGAGTGCTCCCAGAGCAAGCTGCTGTGGGGGCATTTGTGTGTGCTTGCACCTGAGCCACCTCTGTGTGGCTATAAGAATGGCTCCCGTTGCAGTGTGTCAGTGAATGAGGGAGAAACCCTGGTGATCTGCTGTGTGCTCAGGTAAGTATTAGGTGTGGCTGAGGGGGGAGCTGCACACTGAAGGTGCATGAAGGTAAAAAACTTTCAGCCTTTAGAACCACTTTCGCTCTCTTGGGTGGGGTTAAGGCCCTCTCCATGTCCACTCTAGACTTCCTAGTTGTTTTTGTTCAGATACTAGAGCATTCTGCCAGTAAATGCTTTAAGCGTGTCTTGCACCATCCCCAGCAGAGTTGTTCTTATATCTTGCTGAGCCAGTAAATGAAATCAGGCTTGAAGCCCGTCTTATTTCAGATTCAGAGTCCCAAAAGTCAAGAGAGTGTGTTTTTGGTTCACCTGTCGTCTTCGTTTTGATCCAAATATATAGGGTGTTATTTCAAACCAAATTAATGGAGTGCTCTTCACCTTGCATCTGGAGGATCTGTCTGCTGTTCAAGCCCTTGGGTCATTAGAGCTCTTACAGCTGCAAAGACATATTATATATGCATATTTTTTGGGACATTCCTTTATATGGAGTGGAAACACCCTAAAGGGTCCTGGGCTCAACTGAGAGTGTTGCAGAAAATGTCCCTTTTGAAAAGGGATTTGAAAATCTATGGTCTTTCCCCACTGTGTATTTTCCATTGATACCATTGGAAAAGATACCATTAAAAGATTTGAAGGTGTGTTAATTTTTCAGGGCTTCATTGACTAGAAGTTGAATTCCCTAGTCTGCTACAAGTTTGAATTAAGTGGTTTGCTTCTCTCTCATGTGTTGGTGGTAACCTTAATCTGTCAAACTGTGTCAGAATGGGTCAAATCCCTTACAAATTATCCCTTCGTAGCTGTGGTAGGTCCTGTAATATAGAGAGGGTGGAGTAAATGTCTAAAGCAATGTGCTTTAGTTGTAATGTCTTGTTACAAGTCTCTAAACTTGTTTCTCCCATGGGATAGATGTCTGCAAATGCATAGGACATTTCGGATGTTTAATCAGCATTCCATGTACACAGCTAAAGAATAATTGATTTGTTTACCTTTTGAGGGAGGCAGTCTATGAAACTCCTCTTTACAATGTCATTAGCAACACCTCAGATAGTCAGTGTTTGCTCCTGCCTCAATGCAGGAAAGCAGTGAAAGGGTCAGAGAAACCCCACCCTTCTAACTTGTTTGCTTTGGCAGTAAGCAGTTATAGACCACCTGTGTCCAACCTCCACTCAACCCATAGAACCAGAAGTCAGAGGTCGCCTATCCCCTCTTTTAAGCACCACACATTCCCCCACACATGCAGGTGAGTCTGGGGGGGGGGGGGGGCATGGGGTTATTGTGCCTCCATGGAATTTGATGCTTAGGATACCCCTTTTAGCTCATAGGCTGACCTCTTAGGGATGGTATCTCCTTCAACTGCCCCTCAATAGGTCTCCTGTGCTACTTAGAAATTGCTGTGTTTCTTCTCAGGGTTCTCTGCACCCCGCATCCTGGGAACCCCATTTTTGTTCGAGTGGGAAGTTGCCTCTTGGAGATATTCCACAAAAAAATCCCTTCGGACTTAGAGTCATTTGTAACCAGTTTCCCCTGCTACCTCCCCTAACCAGAACTTGACATTCCGTGTCCTTCAAAAGTACTAGTGTTTACTGATACCACTGGACCTTAAGTCCATTGTAAAAAGGCTCGGGTGGACTACCTTGGAAGGTTCAGCTTTCTGGACTTCTGCAGCCATAATTTTCTTGCAGGTTCCAAATCCTGGAAGCTTTGATCGGATGGGGTTTCACAGATATTTGGCAACTATCTTTCATCAATGGGCAAGTCTTATCTGCACCTTGTAGTCTATTGTAAGCTTTTTGAACTGTCAAAGCCTCCCTCCTTCACCCTTAGGGGGCTTCTATGGTGTTTAGGGATTACCCTCTTAAAATTGCTCCACATTTACTTGTTGACTCTTGGGGTTTTTTACCCTCCCCCTTGGTACCTGGGAATAAAGGCTTGAGGCAAGACATTTAGATGGTTGGTTTTCTGTGACTTCCCCTTGGTTATTTGCGGATTCCTCTGTCCTGCAAGGGATTTCGCCTTTTCTGGTTCAGATTTGGGTGTTGGTCTTTCTGATCATCCACTGGTACAGACAGTTCCTGGTTCTATCTTATATCTGTCAATGGCCCTTGTCTAGCCCTCAGCTGGACTGATTTTGGATGTCCTGGTTGTTTCTAAATTTCTGTGTCCCTTAATGGAGAAAATGAGATGTTTGTACTTACTGTAAAATGTATTTCCTAAAGTCCATAGAGGAACAATAGTCTCACACTTCTGTGTTTTATGTCCCTGTGCATTGCTTTCTTTCAAATCTTAAGCATTCTGGGTAGAGAAGGGGTTATTAAAGGATTGGTTTACATCATCTGTTTGCCAGTGTTCCAACATCTTGAAGGTGGCAGTATAATCCAACTCCTTCAGAATTCCTGTGTCCCTCAGTGGATTTGAAGAAATAGATTTTACGGTATGTCCAAAAATTGTATTTTGTCTGCAAGCAAAACTACAAATTCTCAGCTCCCTGAATGTCCGTTGCTGATGGTAGCTTCCTTCGAGGTAGTTTGTTCCATTTACCCAGTTTCACTCCAGACCCTTACAGCACAACTGTCATCATCAGACAAATCCATACATTCCATAGGTAGACTGATTTGTCTGGCACCAAGGACCAGGTACACTGGATGTAAAACTCATTGCATCCAGCTTCAGCAACAACGTGGACACCTTGATATGACTTTCTTTCCCTAAAAACTCTTCCTCACCTGCTTCACAGGATTGAGATGTAGAGCATTTCAGTTATACTCATAAATCCAAATTGGCCCAGGCAGATGTTGTACTCTGACATAAGACTCCTGGTGGACACTCTGTTGGCTCTTCTGTTTCTTTCAAAGACTGATTTGCCATCTTGCTTCTCAGTAGCTGACTTTAATGCCATGGTTGTTAAAACTCATGTTTTGAGAGAATGGGGCATCTCTGAATCTGTCATTTCTACAATGCTAAAAGCTAAGAAGGGCTACTTCCCTTGGTTTTGGTCTCAGGACTTTCACCCTATGTTTTGGTTTTTTTTTTTTTTCTTTTTTTGTCCATGGGATGAATCATCTCTTATCTGAAGCTGGTTCTGGACCAGTGTTTGGCTCTCAGCACTTTAAAAGTTTAAGTTTCTGTTCTGTCTGTCTTATTGTGGAGGCTTTTGACCTCTCACTCCTTGAATAAGACCTTGGTACATGGGGTCTCCCATGTAGCGCCTCCTGTTTGTTCCCTTGTGACTCCATAGTATCTGAATCGGGTTCTCTCTGCACTTCAGAAAACACCTTTGAACCCATCAGACATATTTCTCTTTCCATTCCTAACCATAAGCTGGTTATTTTTGTATTCATAACCACTGTGAGGCTAGTGTTTAAGCTGACAACCTTTTGCACCTTAATGAGATTCCCGTTGTGTTCTGCTTCTTTCAGAAAGACTGACTGTCCTGTAAAGTCCCTGTAAAGGTGCACCACTTTCTTGGTCCATCAATTTTTGGCAGCTCAGGCAGGCCATTGTTCAAGCTTATAGACTCAAGGATCAGGTTCCACTCTTTTCTGTCAGGGTGCACCCTACTAGACCTGTGAGTGCCTCTTGGGCTTTTTGGCATCCAGCTACTGTTTCCCAGATTTTCAAGGCAGCCACCTGGTCCTCTGTTCATGTGTTTTCTAAGCTCTGCCAGATGGATTTTCAGGCTCTCCCTCATGCCAGCTTCGACGGTAAAGTCTTTCAGGTCACTCTGAGTTGCTGCCAGTCCCCAGTTTCTGTTTTTATTAGGTCTGTTAACACTTGTTTGCTGTTGCACACCTCTCCGTTTGTCCCATTTTGAATGTTCTGAAAATGAAACTCTTCCTCTGTTCTCAACAGATGAGAAATTATACAGGATTTTTGTATTTACTGTAAATTCCTTTCCTGGAGTCCATTGAGGGGCACTTGGACATGCTGATAGTGGAAGGGTTATCCTGAGCTGACCTACAGTTATTTTTTGTTTGTGTCTAATCTTTCTGTAAGCAGCAGTGTTTTCCGAAAAGAATTTTATGTTGAGTGCAAAATCTGACACTCCTCCCTGATCAAGGTGAATTTTTTTCATTTGTACTTGACCATTATTACTTTTAGGTTATTTTACATATCATATACTTTTCATTAACAGCTTCAGGAAAACCAGGATGAAATAGAAAACATGATGAATTCCATTTTTAAGGGCATCTTCGTTCACCGATACAGGTAGGTACTTACTTTGTTGTTAATTGCGATAGTATCATTAAGTTAAATTACCTCTGTCATGAAGCTGCTACAGCTGCTGTCTTCTGGAAATGCTGGTAGGTTGTCATGTAGATATTTTGGGTTTTTTTTTTTTTTTAAATCACTGCCTCAGAGCAAGTAAAGAAATAGAAAACGCTAACTTGATCACTTTCATTTACTGTATGCTACTACTCTGTTTCTTGTCTGAAGACAAGCAGAGCTATGCAACTACCTTTTCCAGGAAGCATCTACAAATAAAAGCCAGTATGTATCTCAGAATCGGAACTTTAAAAGCCTGTATGCTGGATACTTGCACTTTTTTTACTTCTTTTTTTGATGAGTTTGTTCCTTGCAAATGTTCTTTCTTCAGAGACGCCATTGCTGAGATCCGAGCAATCTGCATTGAGGAAATAGGGGTTTGGATGAAAATGTACAGTGACGCGTTCCTCAATGACAGCTACCTAAAGTATGTGGGCTGGACACTCCACGACCGGGTGAGTTCTAAAATAAAGATATAATTGTTAAATTGCTTGTAACAAACTTGGAACACAGTTTTAAGGAGACCTTGTCAGTATACCATTCATTTCAGAGAAAATCTTCCATAAGATTACAGTGCTCAGCATAAATGAGTACACCCCTTTTGAAAAGCAAGATTTTAATCAATAACTCAATGAACACAAGAACAATTTCCAAAATTTTGACAAAACTGAGTTTTATGGGACATTTGTTTAGCTCATTACATGAAAGTAAAGTTAATAATATAACTTGGATTACAAAATCTTCAGTTTTACTCAAATGAGTTGATGCAAAAATGTATACACCCCACAACAAAAACTACTACATCTAGTATTTTGTATGACCTCAGTGATTTGTAAGGACAGCGCCAAGTCTTCTAGGCTTGGAATAAACAAGTTGGCGACATATTGCAACATCTATCTTTTCCTGTTCTTCAAGAACGACCTCTTTTAGAGCTTGGATGCTGGATGGAGAGTGATGCTCAACTTATCTCTCCAGAATGCCCCATAGGTGTTCGATTGGGTTCAGATCATACTTGGCCACTGAATCATTTCATCCTGTTCTTCAGAAATGCAACAGTGGTTTTAGATTTGTGTTTTGGATCATTGTCATGTTGTAAAAGTGCACAACGATCAAGGGCATGGAAAGATGGTAGCATCTTCTCTTCCAATGTAGAGCAGTACATCTGTGCATTCATGATACCATCAATGAAAAATGCAGCTCCCCGACATCAGCAGCACTCATGTAGCCCCACAGAGGGACACTGCCACCACCATGTTTTACTGTAGGCACCATGCATTTTTCTTTGTACTCCCCACCTTTGTAACATCATACAGTTTTGAAGCCATCCGTTCCAAAAACATTTATCCTGGTCTCATCACTTCCCTCGTGAACATCGCTGGATCGCAATGGGGCTCAGGTTAGTATTATTAGGGGGGGCTGGGGGAATCTGCGCACACAAGGTTTTTTACCTTCATGCATAGAATGCATGAAGGTAAAAAACCTTGAGCCTTACAACCACTTTACACCCCGGTCACATCAAGACCGACTTTGAAATTGTGCGACTTCGTGAAGTCAGGGGGAGATGCCGATTTCAGGTGCGATTTGCAAGACATCTGACACAGATGTACTACTTTTGGTGCGATTTGCATAGACGTGTACTACTTTAGAAATTGGTGTGGCTCCAACCAAGTCGGAACCGCACCGATTTGACTGTTCTAATTGCAGACAATAGGGTGCGACTTGGCATACGATTTGCAAATCGCATGGCATGCAAAACCATATGCCAAGTCGCACCTGATGTGACCAGGGTGTTAATGTTTAAAAAAAGCTTTATTTTTTTCACCTTTTGGTCCTGGAATATTATGTTACAATAGTTGGCTCATGAAGAGTGGTTATTTTATCAAATATAAATTTCTAAAGCACATTTTTTCTTGTTTTTCTTATTTCTTACAATGTCTTGCATGTTTTTCCCCCTCTCTCGTGTAGCAAGGAGAAGTAAGGCTCAAGTGTCTGAAAGCCCTTCAGAGTCTGTACACCAATAGAGAACTGTTCCCTAAGCTCGAGCTCTTCACCAACCGGTTTAAGGTATGTCTTCTGATCATAAACTCATTGGCTTCATATTTGTACCAGTCACATTTATTAGTTTTGTGATTGTCCAGAATATCAGTTCAAAGCAGGCTTCATTTTTTTCTTGGTATTTTGTTACTACACAGAATAGTAATGCACTGATATATCCGCCACCGAAAATTATCGGCCGCAAATAGGGTTATCAGTGTTTTGCTGCTTAGAAAAAAAAATGTGCTGATAATAGACTTCAAGACAAAATCATGTTCCATTGACTTCAAGGCAAAAGCGCCTGTGTTTAAGTTTTGTAATTTTATATATATTTTTCATTTTATTTTCTGCCACATTTTTGTGTTACTTTAATAAGTTATTTTATGTTGCTGGATTGTATTTTTTTTCATATTCATTTAAAATGTTAATTAAGTCAAGTATCATACAATTATTATTATAATACAAAACTGTTAGTTTCGGTGTTTGGCCAATGCATCCTGAATTTTGGATTTCAGTCCAGAATTTTAATTTCGGTGCATCAACACAGAACACTGGGCATGTAGGTAAATTTATCATGAATTTTATGTGTTTGCTTTATCCTACAGTTTTTCTTTTTTCTTTGTGTTCCAGCCACAATCCGGCAACACTCTGACTTGTTTTTACAATTACAAGCTAACATGAAATATATTTTAAAAAGCATTGTTGTTTTGGTTACACTTCCAATCAATAGTTTTTCTTTTTTTTTCTTTTTCTTTTTTAACACTGGACTGCAGCACCCTCTAGTGGACTAACTCTAGACATCACAAAGCACTACACCAACATCTGTAGTCATTGTGACCCCTAGCAAGAAAACTTGTTTTTTGTTGACAAACTTTCTGTATGTGGGTCCCCTAACATTATCCTCATTAACAGTTGATAGTCCAGAAACGGTGTTCAAAGTTTGTCTTAAAAGTGGAGCTCTGCTTTAACCCTTTTGCAGCCTGGTTCGTATGTCATACAGACCTCACAGTGGGGGGGCGGGGGGTTACACACAATCTGGTGGCTACAGCCACCAGAATTGTGTCTAAAATGTACAGGCAGACTCCTGCCACTCAGGTGGAAGCAGTCAGGTGGCTCCGTTGCTGCCCGATTGCTTCCACACACCCCCAGTATCGGCGCCCCCCGCCATGTATGCTGGGCTCCGCTTGCCCATCTGCAGACCCAGGGCTGACTTGGCGGCTAGAGAGTGGACACATGTCTGCCCTCCTCCCCTTCTTCCTGTGACCCAGAAAGCGATGTGTATGATGCCACGTCCAAGTCACCTCTGTCACTTTCACAGCTAACACAGCCAAGAAGCAATGTATTGCAATGCGATCTGCATTGCAATACATTGAGTGGAGCCCAGAGAAGAAAAAATTCAGTCTTCCCCACATACAAACACAAATGCGTCAGGGGCATCCGCGTGCCAAAACATTGATTGTGGTGATACACCTGTTACATATCGCTTTTGAAGCATCACCCATAGAACATATAGGGTACTGAAGTTTGTGGCCATTTCACAGGTGAATACAAATTTAAGGTTTGACATGTAGGGTATCTATTTGCAACCTCATCTTTTAAGTTTTACCAAAAATGTTCGTAATGTTTTGCTTTTAATTGCCCTAAAATTCACTTTTAGTGTGTTTTTTACAGAAATTTTGCGTTTCCTAGACATTTGCGGTAATATCGTCTGAGATAAAAAAATTGGAACTTACCACTATTTTATACTCTTCTTTCCGAAAATATATAATGTTTGGTGGTTTTGTGTAATCTTCAGGCATTAAATAATTTTTTAAACGTGTGCAAAAAATGCAAAACCGACTTTGGCAGAGAAAGGGTTAAGTGTTGGTTCCTTGCTCCCCATGAGGAATTGGCATCTTTGGGGAGCGGGTACCTGATTTTGGCACCTGCTCCTGCTTTTGCTCCAACCGCCTAGGCGATTGGATGTGGAAGTTGTCCTCCCCCCCGGTGATCATGGGACAGGTGAGTGGCTTTTTTTTTTTTTTTTTTTTTTTTTATGTAGCGGCTGACTTTTATTTTTCTTCAGCTTTGACTGGAACGCCACTTTGACCATACAGGACACAACCATATTCATATACCATGGGTTATAGTTGTGTACTTTCAGGTGATTGGACACCAGCTTTAGAGGATACACCCTCTGTGCACCTCCCCTTTAACCCTACACCACAAAGTGAATCCTCAGTTTTGTGCTAGTGTCTGAAGGTGATGGCTTTTTTCACTTTCACAGACCAAATCACCCTTAGCCTAACTAGCTATTTTCTTTATTATCTTCTGCTTCTTCCATCAGTCCCTCACTGTGTTGTAATGCCAACATAAGATACAGTGTATCCATTTTAGTGCAACCTCAGTAAAACTTTTGGAGCCGTACCCAAACCCCACTTTGTGGACAGCGTTTAACATCACTTTGGGCACTGCATCTTTCATGGGAGCTCAGTTTGGCACTTGGTGCAGCGAGCTGAGTTAGCCACAGGTTGCTAAACAGGTCCAGGGCTGGGGTCCATCATTATGGAACTCAGTCCCTTGAGACCCCTTTGAGGGTATGCCCACCATGCCATTAGATGTCATTACAGAATGGTCTACACCTGGGTTACCACATACTTATATACTTACCACTTATGGAAACGCATATCCTATACTCTACACATTTTTCCGTGAGTACCTTTATAGGGGAATACCCTCACTTGTAGCTATGGCAGGGATCAAGCGAAAGGTAGTTGATGCAAAATCGCAGGCGAACCTGTGCTCTGCCGAAGACGCATCCAAAAAATTTCAGAATGACGATGCGTTGCTTGCAGAAGAAGCTACTCAAACACTGGTCTTAAGGTTGATTCTAGTGCTATTCCTTCCTTTGAATCTGCAATGTCAGCAATTACCTCTCTAGGACAAAGAGAATACATGGCATTGTGTGGACATCAAAGATGCCTACTTACATGTTCCCCACCTCATTAGCGATTTCTGCACTTTGCAGTTGCAGACAACTACTTTCAGTTTGTTGCACTGCCCTTTGCCCTATTCTCTGCTTCCAAAGTGTTCATAAAGATCTTCTGAATTCAGGACATCCAAGTCATAAGCTACCTAGATGACTTTCTTCTGAAAGACTCCTCCCCCTTCCAACTATCAGAAAATGTCCAAAGGACAATTCAGATGCTCCAAGCTTTTAGTCTTTTTGGATGATGAATTTTAAAAAAATATATATGCTCTCCAACCTTCCATTTGCCTGAAATATTTGGGTACATCCCAAGTGAAAGTCTCTCTCTCAAAAATAGAGTTCTTTCTCTAAGGCACATGCTTGAGAATTGAGATCCAAGAGAGATCCTAAATTGAGTTGAGAGTTGTAGGCCAAATATAGCCTTCTTCGAAGTAATTCCAATTAAGAACTCTTTAACAAAACTACTTGTCAACTTTGAAAAAGCAAGCTCCTTCCTTCGACTTGCCCGTTCTCCTGTCCAGTAAAGCAAAGAAGTATCTATCTTGGATCACCACCCAAGCCCTAACCATGTGGGAATTCCTCCCTTCACTATCACTGGAATGTTAACATGACACTTTTTGTATGCACCCATTCCTTGGTTTACTCTCTATTACTTGCTACAATACTGAGGACTCACTGAGTTATGTTAGGTTATAGGTAAGGGGCACGGGGGCCTTTCCATTAAAGCCTTTCCAGTGTCCAGGAACCTGAATGTACACGCCTATAACCCGTGGTGTATGAGTACTCTTCCTGTCTTGTACTGTACTCCAAGACATGGAATTTCAGGTAAGTCTAAATTCCTGCTATGTGTCTGGTGAGAGAAAACATCGGTTACAGTATTGGCAACCTGGCATGGTGTTAGTGTGGATTGTGGGGTTGTTCCAGGCACAGTGGCGACTGATGCCTCAATGAAGAGCCTTCAACTGTAACTCTGGATGCAGCCCTTCTAGCCAGCAGCAGAAGCCAGGGTTTGGGAGGTGATATGAGCAGACAGAGCTAGATATTAGAAGGCCATATCCCATTGTAACACACACTTTCCTGTTCAAGGACCAGCCTGGTTGTGTTTTTGTGGAGTACAGATATGGCTGTAGTGGATGGTCTGCATTTAAATATAGAGGCTACCACACATATGTAGTAGTGACAGTACTATTACCTATTTGCAACATCTGCACTTAGGATTCTGATGGGTGATTGTCTGACTGTTGGGTCCTGGAAATTAGGATGGGAAGAAGCTTCCATTAGGAGGCTTTTTTTTTTCTTTTTTCTGGTAGGTCTCAGGGGGGGGCCAACATGGCCTACAGGTAATAAAGCAAGTGATTTTGTTTCACAACCAGGTGTGTTGGGGCTCCTTATCTCCATGGGCTGTTTTATGCATAAGGTGAATGAAACCTAAAGACTGAAGCCTGGATTTTCAGGTAGCTTTAGCAGCCTTTCTTTTCAGGATGTGGTGATCTTTTGGACAGCCTCTGCTTATGCCTTCTTACAGCAAATGCTTGTTGAAGTGCATAGATTGGTTTATTTAATGTAGTACATAATGGTATTTTTACTAATTTTCAGGATTTAGCAACAATATGTTATGCAGCATTTTATAAAATAATATTCTCTTTACTTCAGCCCCTGTCCCTTAATTAACAATCTCATGTTCCTATTGAATTCAGTCACATATCTGGGGTCGATTTTTGTAGGAATCCAGTTGACAGTGTATCAGTATGTTTTTGGATGGTGGGAGCAATCCAGGCCAAGACTATTAACTGCCTGGCCACCATGTATAACTTTGGGTAAGTAATAAGACACCTTTCACATTTGATTACAGGATCGGATTGTTTCCATGACTTTGGACAAAGAATATGATGTAGCTGTTGAAGCAATCCGCCTTGTGACTCTGATTCTCCAGTAAGTTTTCATCAGAACTCTTAAAATTACACATTCAAACAGTTGGAATAAATATGGGCCTTAAAAAAATATGTAAACCAAATATTTCATATTCCTGATATGTGCTTGCTGTACCATATACTTACATAGTCAGTCTGGCTGAAAAAAGACAAAAGACATCCAGTTCAACCATAAAAAAAAAAAAGTTATAATCCTACACCCATAGTTAATCCAGAGGAAGGCAAAAAACCCAGCAAAGCATGATCCAATTTGCTCCTCCAGGGGAAAAAAATTCCTTCCCGATCACCCGAGAGGCAATCGGATATTCCCTGGATCAACTTTACCTATAAATGTTAGTATCCAGTTATATTCTGTGTATTCAAGAAAGAATCCAGGCCTTTTTAAAGCAATCCATTGAGCTGACCAGAACCAACTCTTGAGGGAGTCTATTCCACATTTTTACAGCTCTTACTGTGAAGAAACCTTTCCATGTTTGGAGATTACATTTCTTTTCCTCCAGATGTAAAGCGTGCCACCTTGTCCACTGTGATGACCTCAGGGTGAATAGCTCTACACCAAGTTCACTATATGAACCACTGATGTATTTATACATGTTGATCATATCCCCCCTTAATCTCTTCTCAAAAGAGAATAAATTCAGTTCCTCTAATCTTTCCTCATAGCTGAGCTCCTCCATGCCTCTTATCAGTTTGGTTGCCCTTCTCTGTACTTTCTCCATTTCCACAATGTTTTTTTTTGTGAATTGGTGCCCAAAACTGAACTGCATATTCCAGATGAGGTCTTACTAATGATTGGTACAGGGGTAATATATCTCTCTCTCTGGAGTCTATACCTCTTTTAATACAAGAGAGGATTTTGCTCGCTTTAGAAACCGCAACTTGGCATTGCATGCCATTATTATTATTATACAAGATTTATATAGCGCCAACAGTTTGCTTAGCACTTTGCAATATAAAGGGAGACAATACAGTTCAATACAAGAGGGTTAGGAGGGCCCTGCTCCTTAGAGCTTCCAATCTAAGGGGGAGGGGCTGGTGGTGCAAAAGGTAATAACTATGGGGGATGGACTGGTAGGAGGAATAGAAGATTCCGTTATTAGCTGAAGGCAGGATAGGCTTCCCTGAAGAGATAGGTTTTCAGAGATCACCTAAAAGAGTAGGCGATAGCCTGATAGATTGGGTTAGAGAGTTCTAGAGGATGGGGGAGGCTCTGGAGAAGTTCTGAAGACGAGCATGGGAGGAGACAAGGGACCTAGAGAGCAGGAGGTCATGGGAGGAGCAGAGAGGACAGTTTAGGTGATATTTGGAGACAAGATTGGTGATGTAATTTGGGGCAGAGTTATGAGTAGTTTTATATATTATTAATGTTTTGAATTTTATTCGTTGGGCAATGGGAAGCCAGTGGACGGATGGCAGATATGGAATGGTTAGTAAGGTGGAGGAGTCTGGCAGCAGCATTCATGATAGACTGAAGAGGGGATAGCCTGTGATGAGGTAGGGCAATGAGGAGGGAGTTACAATAGTCAAGGCGAGAGATAACCAGGGAAGTTGCTTAGTGGTTTCAGAGGTTAAGAACCGGTGTATGTTGTAGATGTTGCGGAGGTGAAGTCTACAAGATTTGGATAGTGATTGGATTTGGGGCTGAAAGGACAGATGGGAGTCTAGGATTACACCTAGTACCCTGGCATGAGGGGAGGGGACTGATGGTTGTGTTATTGATCTTGATAGAGAGGTCAGGGGAGGGGGCATGGGCTGGAGGGAATAGTATGAGCTCAGTTTTAGAAAGATTTAGTTTGAGGAAGTGGAGTGACAACCATGCCGATATGTCACCTAGGTTAGTAATGCGAGAGAAGACTGAATGGGTGAGGAGTAGAAAGATAGATTTGTGTGTCATCAGCATAGAAATGGTACTTAAAGCCATGGGAGCTTATCAAGTGACGAGGTGTAGATGGAGAAGGGAAGGGGTCCATGGACATAACCTTGAGGGACCCCCACAGAAGTGGAGAGGAGGAGACAGAGAGTTATAGGTAACACTTGAGGAGCGCTGCGATAGGTAGGAGAGAGCAGTCTTGGAGGCCAAGAGAGTGGAGTTTTTTGAAGAGGAGGGGATGGTCAACAGTTTCAAAAGCCGCAGAGAGGTCAAGTAGTAAGAGTATAGAGTAGTGGCCATTGGTTTTAGCAGTTAGTAACTAATTAGTGAGTTTTAGTAGGGCAGCTTCAGTGGAGTGGAGTGAGCGAAAGCCAGACTGTAAAGGGTAAAGAAGGTTGTTGTCAGTGAGGTAGGAGCTTAGGCGATTGTAGACTAAGCGTTCTAAGAGTTTAGAGGTAAACTGGAGCAGGGAGATGGGTCTTAAGTTGTTCATGTTGGTGGGGTTCAGTGAGGGCTTTTTAAGTAATGGAAGTGGTGTGTACATTCTTTAGAGGGGTAGGGAAGGCATCATTAGAAAGGGAGAGATTGAAGATGTGAGTGAGTGAGCATAGGATAGAAGAGCGTGACTGTAGTTGTGAGGGGACAGGATCCAGGGGACATGTGGGGACAGGGGCTTCTGTGAAAACTTTAATGACCTCTTCAGTAGTAGCGAGGTCAAAAGAGGAAAGTGTTGAGGGAGGTTTAGTACAAGGTATGCTAAGTGGGATTGATCTCCGTGCAGTGGAAATGCCCCTACGAATTGCATCCATCTTATTTTTTAAATTATTTGCAATCTTGTAGGCAGTGAGTGAGGTACTTGGTGGAGAAAGTAGAGTTAAAAGTAGAGAAGAGACTTTGAGGACTGGATGACAAGGTGTTAATAAGAGTGACAAAGTTGGCTTGTTTGGCAGCATGGAGGGAGAAATTATATGTTAAGAAAGCAGATTTATATAGGGTGAATGCTTGCTGAGATTTGGTTTTACGCCACACCACTCCAGTGCACGACTTTGTCGCTTAAGATTTCTGGTGTTGTCAGTCTGCCACAGTTGTAATGGTCGGGGCCTGATACTTTGTGTAGTTAGAGGAGCAAGTTAATCTAGTGTGGATGAAAGCAAACTGTTGCAGACTGACCAGTGGCCACTGCTGTCTACAACAGAGTGGGAAAGAGAAGGGTTTAAGTTGTGAAGGTTTCTAAGGGTAATTGTTGTCTGCTTGGAGGGATAAGTGTTTGAAGACACTGTGAAGGTGATGAGATTGTGATCAGAGAGAGGAAAGGGGGGTGTTTGTGAGGTTGTATGGAGTGCAAAGATGGGAGAAAACAAGGTATAATGTATTCCCATCAGAGTGAGTGGAGGACTGTGTCCATTGTGTTAAGGCAAAAGATGAGGTTAGGTTGAAGATTTGAGATGTAGCTGGGTTGTTCACAGTAATTATTATTATTATTTTAATAGAGTATTTATGTAGCGCCAGAAGGTTTGCTCAGCGCTGTCCATTATAGTGGGGGACAGAACATGAGACAATACAGTAACAAAACAATACACGAGGGGTTCGAGGGCCCTGCTCTTTCGAGCTTATAATCTAGGAGGGAGGGGGATAGTGGTACAGGAGGAAGTGGCTGTGGGGGATGGAGTGGTAGGAGGAGTGGAGGAGATCGGCTGTTAAGTGAGGGTGGGGTAGGCTTCCCTGAAGAGATAGGTTTTCAGGGTGCGCCTAAAGGTGAGGAGGGTAGGTGACAGTCTGATGGATTGGGGTAGTGAGCTCCAGAGGATGGGGGAAGTCCTGGAGAAGTCCTGCAGTCGGGCGTGGGAGGAGGAGACCAGGGAGCTAGAAAGTAGGAGGTCTTGTGAGGAGCGAAGAGTACGGGTTGGGTGGTATTTGGGTATTAGGTTGGTGAGGTAGTTTGGGGCAGCGTTACGGATGGCTTTGTATGTCAGTGTTAGTATTTTGAATTTAATGCGTTGGGCAATCGGAAGCCAGTGGAGGGAATGACAGAGGGGGGTGGCAGAAGCGGAACGTTTGGTAAGGTGGATGTGTCTGGCCGCTGAGTTCAGGATAGACTGAAGCGGGGATAGCCTGTGTTGGGGTAGGCCGGTGAGAAGGGAGTTGCAGTAGTCCAGACGTGAGATAATGAGGGAGTGAACGAGTTATTAGTGTCTGGGGTTAGGAACGTACGTATTTTGGAGATGTTGCAGAGGTGGAGCCTGCATGAGTTTGCCAGCAATTGGACATGGGGTTGGAAGGACAGGTTTGAGTCTAGAGTGACACCTAGGACATTGGCTTGCGGGGTGGTACTGATGGTGGCGTTGTTGGTCGTGATGGGGGGGGGCGGGCTGGGGGGAAAATTAGGAGCTCGGTTTTGGAAAGGATCAATTTGAGGAAATGGAGCGACATCCAGTCTGATATGTCTCTCAGTAGGTGGGCGATACGGGTGGAGACTGAAGGGGTGAGGTGAGGGGTGGAGAGGTAAATTTGCGTGTCATCGACGTAGAGGTGATAGTTGAAGCCGTGGCAGTGTATCAGTTTGCCGAGGGAGGAGGTGTAGATGGAGAAGAGATGGGGCCCAAGGACAGAGCCTTGGGGGACCCCAACAGAGAGGGGGAGGTGGTAGCGTTATAAGTAATGCTGAAGGAGCGTTGGGATAGATAGGAGGAGAGCCAGGAGAGAGCGGAGTCTCTGATGCCAAGGGAGTGTAGTTTATTAAGGAGGAGAGGGTGGTCAACTGTGTCGAAGGCCGCGGAAAGGTCGAGGAGTAAGAGGACTGAGTAGTGGCCATTAGCTTTGGCGGTTAGGAGGTCATTAGTGATTTTGAGTAGGGCGGTTTCGGTGGAGTGTAGGGGACGGAAGCCAGACTGTAGTGGATCGAGGAAGTTGTTGTCAGTGAGGTGGGAGCTTAGGCGATTGTAGACTAAGCGCTCAAGGAGCTTGGATGTAAATGGCAGCAGGGATATGGGTCTAAGGTTGTTCAGGTCGGTGGGGTCCAGGGAGGGTTTTTTGAGTATGGGAGTGATGTGCGCGTGCTTTAGGGGGGGAGGGGAATGCACCAGTAGAAAGGGAGAGATTGAAGATGTGGGTGAGGGAGCGTAGAATGGAGG